ATGCGGTGGCATACCAAGCCTCTCMACAGTATWTAGAAATTCCACTGGATAATTCACGGCGGCGTCTTCATTGTCAAGACGATCGATCGATTTGKATTAGCGCAAGTTTCCCATAATTTGACTTTAAATCTTTCAGTTTAAGTCAACAACATCGGTATTTTTGGCAGCTAACATTGCGCGTGCACTTAAGGAATCGTAGTTACGATAATTTGCCCAATGTCCGAACATTCGTGATGAGTTCATTTTTCGTGAATTGATAAACGGCAAATGGAATTGATATCAAATCAAAGTATCGACCGGAATTTACCCATTTCCCATTCTTAGCGAATACGATATAAAATGTCTTCGGCAATGTAATTTTTGTTAGTATCCCATAATTGACACGAGTTTGAAGGCTGATATGTCAAAATGAACATCGCGAAAACTGTGCGACCTTCATTTGCATTCGAAGTAGCTATCGCATCGTACATCATTTGATTCCAGTGATTATCATGTTCCAGTAATTGTAATTGATGGCTTGATTCTCCAAAACTTTCATTCACCATTCACAGTACCTAATGACTCAAATAAAGTTGAACCGCGCACATTAATCAATAGCAATCGAAGGTAGAAGCAAACGTGGTTTTTTGAGTGGATTGCGTAAATTCGTCCTAATACATTAGTTGAGAATACAGCTGGACATCWACKGTTTGRCCTTGCTTTCTGCGTAACTATTTCTTCGACGCCATGTATAATAAAAAAAGTTTTTCCGAATAAAGCAATTTTCTCGCAAATGGATCACAGACGCAAGTTGGGAAAAAACTCGTCAATTGATCATCAACATTGATATGAGTTTTTAATGTGAATTAGACAATAATGGCGAATATGGTACAATCCATATATTGTCAACTTCGATATTCACTCTTCTAAATTGAATGCTGAATGTTCTGCCATTGTCTTCTGGTGGGCGACGCCGACAGAGTTGATATCTATCATTTCCAGTTTGTGTTTCCGAAAGAAAAGCACGTGGATAGTGTTCCGTGCATTTATTGTCAAACAAACAAACCGAAGTGAGATTGTGGTGTCTGCAAGGTCCATGAACCGACAAATTTGAGCGATTCAAATAATTAAAAGTAAAACAAAAAAAAAATTTTTTATTTGGATGAAAAAAGTTACCTTTTGGAATTGTCCAACTTTCCGACATTTCCTCATGAAGCACAACAGCGAACAAAATTTGAAAATGTCATAAAGATTGGTTCAGCCGTTCTCGAGCCGTTACTAACTAACAAACATTCATTCGTTTGTATGGGCTGTTTTTAGGGATTTTCCGGCAATTATTCGAATTTTTCTTGCCATAAAAGCCATCTTTTAGCCACAGCGAACATTTAGAAAAAATAACTGGCCAAATTGGTTCAGGCGTTGTTGAGTTACCAACACATTTTGCGATTAATTTTTATATATCCGTATAAGATAACAATACAAGGTGCTTTAGCTCGTTGGCCGGTATGCCGGTGCAAGCTTTTTAAATGGCCTCTACGTCTGCATAACGCTTTCCTTTCATGGGCAAATGCATTTTTCCGAAAAGGAAGAAGTCCCACGGTGCCATATCAGGTGAATACGGGGAGTGGTTAATGGTTAAAATGTGATTTTTGGTGAAATAATCATCCTTCGAATGTTAGATTCTGATCAATTTTTGGTCGTCAGTCAATTTGTGGGGAATAAACCGTGCACACCCCTTTCGTAAGCCCAAAATGCGATAAATCGATGTTTTGGAGATATTCAATTCCATTTCCATGAATTTCAATGATGATTTTGGCTGATTTTTGACGCACAATTTCGATGAAATTTCCGGTGATCGTGGATTTTGATTGTCCCACATGTTGATCGTCAAGACCTCTTTGAAAACGTTGAAACCACTCGTCCACTTTACTACGGGATAGGCAATCATCGCCATAAACTTGTTTCATCAATTGAAACGTTTCGTTAAAAGTTTAACCAATTTTAAAACCAAATTTAATGTTGGATCTTTGTTCGCAGCTCATTTTCGCATCGATAACACAAACATACTGACACTTAAATCGCAATAACTTCACTTCCAATCTATGAAATGTTATGAAATTCTCACTAGGCAATCGATGAAGATAGCAGAATCCAACGCACCAGTCAATATACAGATGGCGCCAGCAGGGGCCGCTAGATTCAAAAAGTCCTGTTTACTTTGGAAGGCACCTTGTATGTCTAACTTCATTAGTTTTAGGTGATACATACAACCGTTAGGTGAACAAAACTTCCACTATTACCCAAAACACGATATTTTCCGTATTTCTATTCGCTTCTGATTCCTAACGATATGTTGTGCACTAAAATGACGACTGTCCTCATCGGTATTTAAAAGACGAATGGTTTGACATTGACTGACAATTAAATACAATTTTTCTCACCTTAATAGCATTACATTTAACACAACTTCCGCTCTCTATTGTAAACACTTATATACTCTACTCACAATACTTAACAAAACTTTTATCGAAATACTTGTAAAAAGTTTTCCATACGCACACCAACATCAATACCATGACTTGTCGTTTAAATATTACTTTTTGCCTCAATGCAGTTAAACAGTTATGCTGGCATGGGTACGAGCATGAATATGTGGCATACATTTCGGCGTTAGAGTGTAAATGGTGTCAACACTTCATGAAACTAAAAGTGAACATAAAATTTGCATGCAATTTGGATTGTGTAAACACTAAAATGAAGAGCAGTGGAAGTGCTGTTAAGCAACTGGTATAATGTGCAAAAAACACACATTTACATATACATGCATTTTCACTCTATATATGGAAGGACACTTTCACATACTTATATACGAGTATATGTATAAGTTTATGTTTATCTGAGTGCCTCTTGAGCGTATTTTATGGCGTTAATGTCGTGTGTGTTAAGCGCCGAGTCGGCCAAATGTCAAATATTTTCCGACGCGCCGAATTTTGTGTGTTTATTTTTATATTTAAAAAAATATATGTATTATATACATACATACATAAATATGTATATAGTACATTTTATTTATGCGCCTTTCATTTGTTTGTTGACGCGAAAATATGCATTTGTGCTGAGTAGTTGGTGGTTTTGCATAATTATTTAAAAGAGAAGGAGTGGAAAATAAACTGGAGAAACTCAGATTTATAGAAGGAGATTAAGGAAAGAAAACATGCAAATAAAAATGTACCTCTACTTGGATTACCCGTTATAAAATTATTGTTTACTAATAAAAATAGAAATCACCAGCAAAAACATTTTTCATTTTTGAAAATAAAATACAATAAATACAACCACGAAACACTCAACTTATCGATATCGATATTCTAACCATGTAACATCGCCGTAAAAATAATAAAAAACCAATAATAATTTTAAAGTTAATTGATCGAAATACTTCTTATATTTAATACTTAAATTACTACAATATTAAAAACTCTTCAATGTCATTTATAAGACCAGTCCTTTAATGTTTAAAATATGTTATATTCGGAGCCATGAAGCCAGCTTTCGGTATGACCAGTGGCGGATAAAGAATTTATTTCCGAGGGTGGATTTCCCTTCCAAAATATTTTGAATATTTATTTTACTTTCTTTTTCTGAATTTCCTTTCTGTAGATCCGACACTGAGTGCGACTGATGTTGGAAAATGTTTCCCGATATCTACACCTTCACTCAAATTACTAGGCTTAAACTTATTTTCTTATTATGAATAATAAATTATATAGTCGTATGGAAATTTTCTTTTCTCAACTGGTATTTTCTTTCTCTTTACAACTTTATCTGTCACCGCCGAAACTGGAGTTCATTTCACTTTCGATTAACCAGAAGGGGCACTCTTCTAACGGTAGATCTCAATCAACTCAATCTGAAGTGTCTTTCAAGCAGAAGTGGTAGCCAGAAGCATATCTCCGATGTGCGGCTTCTTTTAGGTCTTGAGCTCGCTGACTGTGAGGCCAATCTAGAAAAGAGTGCATGACCTCACTAGCTGTAGCTTCAAGCCCCTTCCACGTTAAACTTGGATAGGTACCTGAACACAGCGGAATCAACGTATTTTGAAAGAAACTGAAGCCATAAAATTATATCAGTATAGAAAGCTTCTGGCCCCGAGTGGATTGTAAAATGTTCATTGAACTATTATACAAGCTCTTAGTAAGGCTCACATCGCCGAAATGATAGGCGCTCTTACTGGACAATATTCCATTGGCACTCACACAGTGAGAATAAAAATTCTGGACGTTACAATTTGCTGTTGTCAGGTTAAGGTTAAAGAATCTCGGTTGTCATACATTTTACAAGCCCGGGAATTGACATTAACAACCTCAATAAATTTTAGTGTGGTTCTAAGTGTTTTGTCGATAAGCGGCGGTCGTTTTGATCGATACCTAGGGGTTCCGGGCATCGCAACGGGCAAGCGTCTCTAGCAGTTCAAATAGAATTATTTGTGGATTTACGGCAGGTCGACTTATTAACTAACCTATAGTTTTCCAACCAGCTGTCAAAATATCGAAGCGATGTGTTTGAAATTTATTCTTTGTGTACATGCCTAACTTCAAGTCAAAGATGTTGGACTGTTGGAAAACCAAATTCGTTGTGATTGCCGATTTATGCTGGAAAAGGTGATGCATAATTAGGCATGCAGTGTGATCTTTATACAGGCTTGGGATACATTGGTGGCATAATACAGTTTAARTGTTGACTTGTCCATTGATTTTCTTTGTTTTATTTGAAATAAAATGTATGTGACTCTAAACCAAATACTCTTTATTTGCTTTTCAAGTCGCCTTTCAAGTTCAGCATTTACTTCGCTGCTTTAACCAACATATTTATGACTTTCGAATGCAAAACAATTTCAAATACATTTTAGGCACTCTAAACTTTTTACTTAAACTTTATAATTTAAGACAACTTAGAAAAAAATCGATGCCTAAGCTCTTAAGCACCTATTGATTTCCTTTCTACTCTTTCTCTACTTACAGCTAATCTAAACAGCACTTCAACAGCGTAAGAGTTTTACGGAAAACAAAGCAACACCAAAAAAAACCTAAAACAGCATTCAAAATGTTCATGTCAAACCGTTTAGTGAGCTCATTCTTCTTTGTCTGCGTTAGTGTTATGCTGTGGCAGCAAAGCTCCGCCGATGTGCCGGATAACAGTGCGTATACGCAATTGTCTTAACCATAYACACACACATATATATACCTACATATAATACATCTATGTTTTACAGACGCACTCGCCAACTTATACAACAGCTTGCTGCAACGCGAATATGCCGGTCCGATTGTTTTCCCCAACCATCAGGTCGAACGCAAAGCTCAACGTTCGCCTTCGTTGCGACTACGTTTCGGTCGACGCAGCGATCCGGATATGTACTTGCCCGCCGAGAAACGTTGGTTTGGTGATGTAAATCAGAAGCCAATACGTTCGCCATCATTACGTTTACGTTTCGGACGTCGCAGCGATCCCAGCATGCCACTGCATAGCGAGTTCGATGCTGTCATGAACGATTTGGCTGGTGTAAGCAACAATGGTGGCATAASTGATGTCGAAGAAGCGGCTGCCTTTTACGGTGACGAGTACCCCGAAGACATGTATGATGCTGGTTTTGAGCGTATGGTACGTAAGCCTCAGCGTTTGCGTTTCGGMCGCAGCTTGCCAAGAATCCAGAATAATATCGATGATGAATTAGAGGTAAGTGGAAACGGAGTGAGGAAAACCATTTGTAAGAGTGCCAGTCATTGTATAATACTTTTGACTGGATGAATACAGAGAGGTAATTGGAACACAAATTTGTGTGCCTTGAAGTCATGATGACAGAAAAGCGAAAAGTCCCAGAAGTTTTAAAGCCTTTGCGAATTGTCAGATTGAAGCTGAAGTAAGGGTCATAGTGTACGACAAATGAAGTCTGAAAACAGTTTTTCTAATTATATATGCTTCCACCAATCTCTAATAGCATAAAAAAGTAAATTAAATTTTACCATCAAAAGTTTTGTAACAAGTGATCCGGTATCCATAACACCTT